CATAGAAAAAGGGATGCCAACCTCTGTGACAGAATTTTGCACTGTATCCCATAATTGCCTGTTCAATCTACTCTCCAGCGAAGAGTGACTTCTTAGAGAGCAGGATTATGTTTTGCTGTATTGTATTCTTAGTACAGGAGAGTGCCTTGCATAAAGGAAGTGCTTCACAAATATTGGTAGAATGGCTTTTAATAGTCAAAATTTTGATCCTGCTTACGAAACATCAGTGTTCCAGAAGAAAAATGATTGAAGTTGTTGACTTATACCTTGAAGTAAGAGACTGTGGTAGGCAGTTCCTATGGTTACAGTGACATACAGATTTATCTTTTCCAACCAGAATTCTCTAGAATACCCACTAAGCTGGAATACTCTGTTTTGATGTATAACGCTTATTTAGGTTCTAGACTCTTGGAACCAAGCATACTACAAAGCAAGCCTCTCCAGAGGAAAAAAAACATGAGACTCACATGCCCTATATAAAGGGTTCTGAAACTTAACAAAAATTCCCAAAGTATTGTAATACTATATACTCAATATATTCATTCTACTAAACTTTAGGAATTACAGTATATTTTAAAATTTTATCTTTTTATTTATGCCAAAAAGGAGAACACGTCCAGCCAGTGTGGCTCACTGGTTGAGCATGGACCCATGCACCAAGAGATCGCCAGTCCGATTCTCAGTCAGGGCACATGCCCAGGTTGTGGGTCAGATCCCCAGTGGGGGGCATGCAGGAGGCGGCCAATTAATGTTCTCTGTCATTGATGTTTCTAGCTCTCTGTCCCTCTTACTTTCTCCCTCTGAAATCAATTAAGGAAAAAAAATTGTTTTTAAAAAAAGAACACAAACATCTGAAAAGGACACACCCTGATATGCGGACTGAAGAATATATTTACAAGAATATGTACTTTATTTTAATTTATTTCTGGCATAATAGCCTGTGTTTCTCATTTTAGTCAGCTAAGTTAACTATAATATTCTATTTTAAGTTCTAATATATTTTATATATTTACCATTTCTTTTCTCCCTAGGATATCGAGATGAGATTGTGGACAGGGGTTGTGATACTATGAGAACGTGTGGTATGGCACCATGAAGGCATGAAAACAGCCTGCCTTATAACAGATGCTCAAACATTCTCTTCACCTTTCATTTCATATCCTTACAAAATCTATTCCTTCCTTCAGGATTGATCCTCTCTGTCACTGACTAAATGTTTTGTGCTCCCCCTCCAGAATCCATATGTTGAAACGTTAACCCTCATACGATAGTGTTAGGAAGAGGGGCCTTTGGAATTAATTCTATTTAGATGAAGTCATGAGGGTGGGATCCTCATGATGGAATTAGTGCCTTCATAAGAGGAGAACCCATCTTTCTGCCACCTCCCACTCCTTGCCATGTGAGGACACAGCAAGAAGACAGCTACCCGCAAGCCTGGAAGAGGACTCTCTCCAGAACCCCACCATGCTGCTCCACGTCCTTAGATCTCCCAGACTCCAGAACAGTGAGAAATGTCTGTTGCTTTAACCCTCCAGTCTATGCTGTTTTGCTATAGCAACCTAAGCTAAGACACTCTCCCATCTTTTCTTATGAAGCCTGTCTTTAGTGTCTAGTTCAAGTGTCATCTGTTTGTGTGCGTGGTGTGTGTGTGTGTGTGTGTGTGTGTGTGTGTGTGTGTATGCGCGTATGTGTTAAAAAATTGGCAGACAACATACAGGTTGCAGAAGAATGTATTTTCACTATGAAAATTATGAGAACTATAAAAAGTCAAATATGGAACCAACCCTTTCTTTCCTCGCATATTCCTCACGCAGAGGGTAAACACTGTCATTTTGACAATATGGAGTACTGCCTTTCAGTCCCTTTTCTATGAAAATGTCATCTTCACTCCACTCAATTATTGCTGTTCTCTCCTGCTGTTTGCATAGCCCTTGTTACGTCCGGTTTCATACCCAGAAGATTTTACAGTAGATTCATGAAGCTCAAATTCAGGAATTCCAGCTTCACACAGGCTCCTTCCACAACCCTGGGAGTATCCTTGGCAGTATATTCACATGACCATAGTTTTATATATTTGCAATATTGAGGGGTTCTTGTGTTTTTAAGTGATTTGAAAATTGCATAAATTTCAAGGCCCCACAAAGCCTGGCTAGCCCCCTGCTTATACCATGTGTAAGTACAGGATTATCTTGCCATTGAGAAGGGAGAATGTTTTCTCTTAGGGGGGCATGGTTTCAGATTTATTTAATACCACTTTTGGAGTCAGTTGTTAGCCCACAATAAAATATTTGAAGACATTTTAACAAATGGGTAATTGTGAAAAGAAATATCAAATCATATTCTCAGCTTGAAGCAGATAAAAAATGCAAATTAATCACATAAGGTAATCTGCAAATATTGCTATTTGCAGCAGTCATATAAATTAAGATCATTTAAACATTCATGATAACTATATGTAAGAACTAAACCCACTGATGTAATAAAAATGAGGTAGGGCATGTGTATCGATATTGGTAAAACTGGATTTTCTGTGATAGGGATTTGAAGAAATATTAATTGAGAAAATCTTAATCAATAGGACTAAGTGAAACAATCAATTAACACTAATTCTTTGGCGTGTTTTTTTACATAATCAATAATATCAAAGTCAAGGATTTTAGGAGCTGTAGTATGGAGACAGTAGAATGGTGTGTGAAAAGGTTCACAAGATTTTAAATCATGTAATTATGACTTAAGTAAATTTATATTCACTAAGTAGGAAAAGTTTATGTTAATGCTCCCTGCATTGATTAGTGTAACCACAGAGAAATTAAGTAGAAATAAGCTTCTCTGCAAGGTAACTTGCCCTCCATCAAACACAGTTGCAGTGATCATAACAAGTCAAGGAAAAAGGTTGTAGTCATTTATTTTTTTATTTTTTTATCCTCACCTGAGGACATTTTTCCATGTTTTGTTCAGATAGAGTGGGAGGGAAAGAGAGAGGGAGAGAAACATCGACATGAAAGGGTCATATCGAGAGGCTGCCACACACACAACCCAACCAGGGCCGGGAACAAACTGCAACCGAGGTACATGCCCTTAGCAGGAACCGAACCCGGGTCTCTCTGGACTACAGGCCGACGTTCTAACCACTGAGCCAAACCATCCAGGGCAGGTTGTGGTCAATTAAAACAAAACAAAACAAAACAAAACAAAACAAAACAAAACAAAATAAAATAAGTCTATATTTTGATTGCCCTGAATAGCTGTGGGAAGAAAATAGCTGAAGTGTAAAGCTTGAAACTGAGTAAATTATTTATTGTTTGTGCATAAGAGATCAGAGAAGGAACAAGCACTAGTTACATATGTCCTCTTGATTACAAATGATGTTGCACATGAAAAATGCTAGCAGAGATGATCCTTGTAGAAAAACCCTTGGTTATGAGGTTCAGCCTGCAAATGCAAAACCTAGGTGCTTTGTCCTCTAAGGTAATTTTGGCTTTAAGAATACTGCTTATGGCACACAGTTTAGGAGGTGCCATAAAAGAAATAGGATTCACTAGGAGGCTTTGTTAAAAAAGAAAACATATATATGGAGTAAAAGTACTGAAGAGCAAAGCACTGAAGGTCAATTTCAATGAGCAGTAGTTTTGGAAAGCTAAGTTATGTATGGGGCCTGTAAAGAGAAATAGAGGATAAGAAGGTGGGGTTTCCTAGTCAGATTTCCCAGGGTTCCTTAATTATTCTGGGTCACAGTTGTCACCACATCTGTAAGATGTAAATAACTGTGAAGATGTTTAACCGTAAAGTAATTTCCTGAGGAGGTGTCTCTACGTCTCTTTCAGTTTGAGGATGTAACATAACAAGGTTCTTGAATCTAGAATCGAATGACAGTTTGATAAGAGATGGAATATTTCTGGTAAACTAAGTGATTGTTTCTGATAAATTGGCAATTAAGATGAGAAAGAACAGGAATATAGAGAAGCAGGATCTTTAATTAATTAAACAAAAGTAGAGTTTATTTTTATCAATCTATTAGAAGAGCTTGCATGTAAAAGTCAGAATTATTGAATTCAATGCTGCTGAGAAGCTCATCATGTGTGATTATTGAATTCTAGAGTGTTTTTTTTATCATCATTGAACATCAAACTCAAGTATTTCAGGAGCCATGGTATGGAGATGGTAGAATGGCTTGTGAAAAGGTCCACACGATATTTAAAGTATGTAATTATAATGAGTAAATTCATATTCATTAAGTATGAAGTCAGAGTTGCAAATTCAAAATTGCACTGGTATTAAAATAAAATGAATGTATCTTTGGCCCATTAAGATAAATTTAGTAAAGTACTGAACTATGTTATCATGGAAAGTTTTGAATTATGTTATCTATATGCATGACAATGTTTATTAGTATAATAGAAACAACTGAAATGTTCAGCAACAGGCTCTCAGTTATTCCACCTGTTCACCGAGATCTGTGACCATGTTGGTATTGTTCTCGGTGCCAGGGTCCTCAGCCTCAGCGAATTCTGTCTAGTCAGAAAGACAGGTATTTTCTTTGATAATTTAAAGAAATATATACTTATAAATTAGTGTATTTATTTAAAGAAGAAGTATAGAGAAGCATAACAGCATATGGTTTAATCTAAGCTTCATTAAATTATCATTTACATTGAAATATAGATTGGGGTTGAGGGATGCTCATTCCATGGTCAAGGGCTAGCCCATGTGACAGAGGTGAGAAAAGATGCTTTTTAAAGACTCTAAAAGAGGAACTGTTTGTGAGATACCGAGTAAATGATGAATGTTAACATATTAAGAGTATTATACAAGAATTATATTTAAAATTCTGTAAAAATATGATATATCCTTAAGGGAAAAGTTTATACATTTTAATGTTCACAGACTATTGTTATGCATATATGCACACAGAAACTAGAGGAACATATGAGGAAATGGTGTGTAAGGACTGAGATTATGAATTCCACTCACTCGTTTCTTTGAAATCTGTTTCTTAGTGAACTTACTTTGGTGACAAGTCCATGCGCTAAACTGGAACAATACAGAAAAGATTGACATGACCCATGCACAGGAATAACACACAAATTACTGGAGTGTTTTCATATTTTGGATTGTCTGTTTTAGAAAATCACCACTTCACAACCATCATAATAAAATTTGATTCACACCAGAGTTATCAAGGATGCTGAAATTAACAGGTGAAAGTCTGAGGACTAACAGTTATACTAACATAGTTTCAAAGTATCTCCTCACAAGATACTTACTAATAACAAAGATTAAAAATGGTAACTACAGTGACAAGACCTGGCAAATTACATTATGAGTAATGGAACAAATAAATACCATGTGATATGATTTACTGAGAAGAACACAACATCACTCAGTGATATTCCTGATAAATGCATAGTATGTTTTTAATCATGAGGAAACATCAGATAAGCCCAAATTGAGGGACATTTTACAAAATACTTGATCTTTACTCTTCAAAACATCATTGTCATAAACACAAAGAAAAGCTGAGGAATTGTTCCAGATTAAGGAAGACTATTGAAACCTAAAAACACATGTCACCAGATTTCTTTTGCTATAAAAGGACATTCTTGGGGAACTGGAAGAGACCAAAATAAGATCTTTGGCTTAGATCATGCTATTGCATCAATGTGAATTACTCATTTTGGTAATTGTACTGTGCATAGGTAACAGAAGATCCCCCCTCCCTTTTTTAGGAAATGAACACTGAATCATGTAAGAAAATATTTTCTTTAACAACTTTTAGTAGATATTTGTTATTTGCAGCTACTTAAATCTTTGAGCATTCTTGCTATGTATAATAATTTTACACATTATAATTTCAACCTTCCTAAGGTATGGCCATACCAGTCACATCCATGTATTCTCTGGCAGCTATGATCTAGTCATGGAAACTAGCCTTGGTCCATTTATTACATCTGAACAGGATCTAGGTTTGAAGGAGAGTAATGTAAGGGCAGAGTAGGGGTAGTATTTTATCTTCTTAGAGGTATGGTAGCATTGACAACCAGTTCCTTGGAAAGCAGTGATCCTAGCATTGCTGGTGCTTTGTAGCAATGGCAGTATTTCAACATGGAAACCATTCATGAGAAATGTTTTAGTCTAAGTGTCATTCTGGCCCTCACAGAGATTCAATGACAGGCTGTATATGTTTACAATACATCATTCCCTTGTCTCAGACACAGAAGACCAGATTTCCCAGTCTCTGCCATGGTTCACTTGTGGACTTGTGATTCAGTTCTGAGTAATGGAGCTTATGTGGAATTGACAGAGTCTCTTCATGGGCCTGGTGCTTCAGAACACCCAGAATAATTCTACAGCTCTCTACATCTTCCCTGGAGTGGCCATAGAGGCCCCATGTCCTAGAGGGCATAGCTTTAAGGTATAAAAAAACCACTTAGACTCTTGTGAGCAAAAACTTACTTTTATTGCCTTAAGAGATGGGGCATTTGTTGTGGCAGCTACAATTGTTTACTCTAATAAAAATTCTTTATTTTTTCTGGTCCAGTGATGGAAATCTTTTTATTTATCTATTTTTTATTAAATTTATGGATGTGGCATTGGTTATTAAAATTATACAGTTTTCAGGTGTGCAATTCTATAATATATCATCTGTATATTGTACTGTGTGTTTACCACTCAAAGTCAAGTCTCCTTCAACACCATTTGTTGCCCTTTTATCCTCTTCTACCTCCCACCACCCTCTTTCCTCTGGTAATCATCATGCTATTGTCTGTGTCTATGAGTTTTATTGTTGTTGTTTTTTGCTTAATATCATCACCTTTTTCACCCAGCTCCTCAACGCCCCTTCCTCTAAAAGCTGTGTCTATGTTCTGTATCAACGAATCTGTTTCTATTTTGTTTATTTCTTGTGTGCATTGAGTTCTACATATAAGTGAAATCACATGGTATTTTTCTTTCTCTGACTAGCTTATTTCACTTAGCATAATAATCTCCAGGTTCATCCATGCTGTTCCAAAAGTAAGATTTTCTTCTTTTTTATGGCTGAGTGGTATTCTATTATATAAATGTACCATTGGTTTTTATCCACTCATCTACTGATGAGTACTTGGTCTGTTACCAGATCTTGGCTATTGTAAATAATGTTACAATGAACATAAGGGTGTGTATATTCTTTCAAATTATGGTTTCAGGTTTCTCCTGATATATTCACAGAACTGGAATCACTGGGTCATAACGCAATTCCATTTTTAAATTTTTTGGAAACTCATACTGTTTTCCACAGTGGCTGCAGCAATCTGCATTCTCACCAACAGTGCTAACATCCTTACCAACACTTGTTGATTTGTTGATGATAGCCATTCTGATAAGTGTGAGGTGATATCTCATTACGGTTTTAATTTGCATTTATCTGTAATTAGTGACACTGAACATTTTTCATATATCTATTGGCTATCTTATGTCCCCTTTGGAGAAGTGTCTATTCAGGTCCTTTGCCCATTTTAAATGGATTAAATTTTTGGTGTTGAGTTGTATAAGTTCTTTATATATTTTGGATATTAGCCCCTTATCAGATGTATCATTCAGTTGTCTTTTCATTTGGTTGATGGTTTCTTCTGCTGTATAAAAGCTTTTTAATTTGATATAGTCCCAGTTGCTTATATTTTTTATTTCCCTTGCCATAAAAGACATAGAAAAAAATATTGCTAAGAGAAATATCAGAGATTTTACTGTCTATGTTTTCTTTGAGGATATTCATGGTTTCAAATGTTACATTTAAGTATTTAATTCACTTTGAGTTTTTTCTTGTGTAAGAAGATAGTCTAGTTTTATTTTTTTGCATGTATCTGTCCAATTTTCCCAACACCATATACTGAATAGACTATTTTTACCCCATTGTATGTTCTTGCCTCCTTTGTCAAATAGTAATTGCCCATAAAGGCATGAGTTTATTTCTGGGGGTTTTATTCTGTTCCATTGATCTTTATGTCTGTTTTTATGCCAGTACCATGCTGTTTTGATTACTATGGCCTTGTAGTATAGTTTGATATCAGGTAGTATGATTCCTCCAGGGTTGGTCTTCTTTCTCAAGATTGCTGTTGCCATTCTGGTTCTTTTGTGGTACCATATACATTTTTGGACTATTTGTCCTAATTCTGTGAAATACGCCATTGGTCTCTTGATAGGAATCATGTTGAACCTATAGATTGCTTTGGGTAGTATGAATATTTTAATGATGTTAATTCTTTCTATCCATGGACATACTATATGCTTCCACTTATTTGTATCTTCCTCAATTTTTTTCTTCAGCATTTTATAATTTTCTGAGTATAGGTCTTTCACACTCTTGGTTAAATTTATTCATAGGTATTTTTTTTTAAGCAATTGTAAATGAGATTGTTTTCTTGGTTTTCTTTTATGATAATTATTAGCATATAGAAATATAGCTGATCTCTGGATGTTTATTTTCTCTCATGCTATTTTACTAAATTCATTTATCAGTTGTAGTAGTTTTTTGGTGGGATGTATAGGGTTCTCTACATAGAGTACCATGTTATCTGCAAGTAAAGATGGTTTTAATTCTTTCTTTCCAATTTGGATGCCTTTTATTATTATTTTTGTCTGATTGCTGTAGCTTGGACTTCCAGTATTTTATTGAACAAGAGTGGTGAAAGCAGATATCCATCTTGTTCCTGATCTTAGAGGAAATGCTCTTGTGTTTGCCCACTGGTATAATGTTGACTGTGGGTTTGTAATATATGGCCTTTATTATGTTGCGGTATATTTCCTATATTCCCACTTTGCTGAGAGTTCTTATTCTTTTTCTTTTTATCATAAATTGGTGCTAGATTTTATCAAATGCTTTTTCTGTATCTATTGATATTATCGAGTAATTTTTATTCTTGTTTTGTTTATGTGGATTTATCACATTTATTGATTTGTGGCTATTGTGCCAAATTTGCCTCCCCAGCAATAAAGCCCACTTGATCATGGCATATGATCTTTTCAGTGTAATGAGTTCAGTTTGCTAATATTTTCTTGAGAATTTTAGCATCCAGTTTCATCAGGCATATTTTCTTTCTTTGTTTCCTTCTTTCTTTCTTTCGTCCCTCCCTCCCTCCCTTCCTTCCTCCCTCCCTCCCTTCCTCCCTCCCTCCCTCCCTCCCTCCCTCCCTCCCTCCCCTCCCTCCCTCCCTCCCTCCCTCCCTTCCTTCCTTCCTTCCTTCCTTCCTTCCTTCCTTCCTTCCTTCCTTCCTTCCTTCCTTCTTCTTCTTTCTTCTTTTTTCTTTTTTTGTTTGTTTGTAGTGTTCTTATCTGCTTTTGAAATTAAAATAATGCTTGTCTTGTAAAATGAGCTTGAGAGTCTTCCCACCCCTTGAACATTTTGGAATAGTTTAAGAAGGATAGGTGTTAGTTCTTCTTTGAATGTTTGGTAAAATTTACCCATGAAACCCGTGAAGCCATCCAGTCCAGGACGTTTGTTTGTTGGAAGTTTTTTTTTGTTTTGATTTTTAAATTCTCACCTGAGAACATTTTTGCATTCATTTTCAGATAGAGTGGGAAGGAGAAAGGGAGGAAGAGAGAGAGAAAAACATCGATGTGAGAGAAACATATCGACTGGTTGCCACCCACATGACCCCAACTGGGGCCGGAGACAAACTGCAAACAAGGTACCTGCCCTTAGCAGGAACCTGGTATGTAGATGATGGTCTAACCACTGAGCCAAACCGGTCAAGGCTCATACTCATTTTTAAAAATTGATTTTAGAGAGGGAGAATAGGAGAGAGAGAGAGAGAGAGAGAGAGAGAGAGAGAGAGAGAGAGAGAGAGATGAGAGACACATCAATCAGTTCCCTGACCAGGGATTGAACCCACAACTGACTGAGAATCAAACCCATGACTTACCAGTGCATGGGATTATGCTCCAACCAAGACTGTTGGGAGTTTTTTTTTTATTGCTGTTTCAATTTCATTAGTTACAATTGGTGTATTTAGATTTTCTTATTTTCCTGATTCAGTTTTGGAAGATTGTATGTTTCTAGGAATTTATCCATTTTGTTCCAGTGTCCAATGTGTTGGCATATAGTTATTCATAATATTTTTTTACAATTACTTGTA